TTTGAGAGGTTTTTGCTATAGGGCGCGTGTGCTCGCCAGACAGAGAGAGACATAGAGACAGAAAGCAAGAAATCACCCCCCCAAGGGGGATGGTCACACCACAATCCCTTCTCCATTCTCCTCTCGGGATCTTGGGCACACACACACACACGCGCCCGGCGTGAGTTTTAAGCCACCGGGTCCGGGACGCAAACCGCGGTTGACTACGTGGGAGTCCAGCGACATAGCCATTACGCTAACTGCTGGTTCCCAGGTGAGAAAGAGTTCTAATTGTGGCCCTCGGGCAAGTCACTTCCCTGCACTCAGCTGCATTTGCCCTGTGTAGAGAGAGAACGTGCTGATGGCCCAGGAACCACCACCACCCTCCTGCCCGTCCCCCTACCCCAATACACACACAATGACCACAGGCCTCTTGCTGAATTTGGTCCAGAGATTAGGCCTGCCAGGCCCCCCAGGAAGAAGTTGGGCTAAGAGTGGAGAAAAGGATCCAGAAATCTGACTACCACCAACTCTCTGGCAATGTGGACATGACCCCTGTCGTGCTGGGGCCTCGGTTTCCCTACCTGTAACATGAGAAAATGGACCTAGGTCTGCAAAGTCCTTAGCTCTCCCTGGGTAGTTCCACTGAGAGGTTCTTGACAAGCAGATCTAGTTCCTCTGATCCGTTCTGGTCTAAGCAACCTGGAAAATGGATGCAATTAGCTGATGGCCCGAAAACTACTTCCAGAGACCTGGCCCTCTTGAGGAGGCTTAGGGACTGAGATCATGCTCTGTCATGCCAATAAAGCCTACCTGTTGGAACGAGCCTTGCGTGGTAACTTGAAACAGTGGTAACATCTGCCCTTTTCATGGTGCAACAGCTTCTTTCTTTCCTTTCCTTTTATTTTATTTTATTTTATTTTATTTTATTTTATTTTTTTACTGTTTTCGCACTCCAGAAAACTTTTGTGGTGGTTGAGAAAATGTGTTTTAAACAATTTCTTCCCAAGGTATCCGGGGTTGGCAGGCTCCAACTCCACAGCGTCCTTGTGCCAGGTACAGAGGGTGCCTCTGAGGAGCTGGTCTCAACTCCGTGGGAAACTGGGAGTGGAATTGGGCTATCACAGCCAGGTCTTCCATGCTTGGCCCATAGGGTCTCATCATGTCCGCATCTGACAAGACTCTTATCAGGGCCAGGCTCAAAGCCACCACCTCCTGAAAGCCTGCCTGACAGCCCTGGGAGCAGTGTTCCCTCCGCTCCCACAGCACCAGCGCTCTCCATGTTTTGCACGTACACGACTCCCTGTCTGGAGGTCTGGCCACTGTGGCTGAAGGTCAACACGACTCCCTGTCTGGAGGTCTGGCCACTGGGGCTGAAGGTCAGCCCCTGGAGAAGGGCCTGAACTGACTCCTTGCGCTCTGCAGTTACCAACTTGGCCATTTCTTCGGCCTGTTGAACAGCCTCCTGGCAGCTTGTTATGGCTACTGCTGTTAACTGCAAGAGTACCGCACCCCAAGGCCACCCCATCAGTTTCCTGGTGAATGCAATGCCAGGTCCTGAAGGTTTCCAGGCCCACCACTGGAGCTCTGGGCCCAGGAGATCTTTAGAATACTTAAGACGTTCAGGCCAGGAGATTTGGATTCTGGGAGCATGCCTAGGGAGGCTAGAATGCAAAGCTGGGGCTCTTGTCCTGCTGCCCATTGGAATCACCTGAGTCCCACTGGAGGTTCTGGTTACAGTGTGGGGTGTGGCCCGGGCATGGCAAGTTTAAATCTCCCCAAATGATGTTAATGAGCAGTCAAGGTCGACCGAGAGCTGGCATAAGAGCCACTTCCTCTGAACCCACTTGGTAGTTGGGCATTATCAACTAGACGGAGGCGAGCTCTGCGCTTTGAGTAGGATGGTCATTTGTCTGTTGAGGTCGTCACTTGCCATTGTGCCACGAGGCACTTGTACGTACCATTTCCAGATCTGAAAACTGCAAGGTAGGAGCTGCTGTTCTCATTTTACAGATGAGACCCGAGGCTCCATTTAAGCTGCTTACTGGAGGGTGCACAGATCAGAGCTAGACTCTGAACACTAGTCAAAATCTAAGCCAAGGGAACCAGCAGTTAGCGTAATGGCTATGTCGCTGGACTCCCACATAGTCGACTGCGGTTCACGTCCCCAACCCGGTGGCTTAAAAACGTCCCAAACCCGGTGGCTTAAAACTCACGCCAGGTGCCTGTGCGTGCGTGCGTGCGTGCCCAAGATCCCGAGGGGAGAATGGAGGAGAAGGGATTGCAGCGTGACCATCCTCCCTGGGGGGTGATTTCTCGCTTTCTGTCTCTATGTCTCTCTCTCTCTGGCGACCACACGCGCCCTATAGGGAAAACCTCTCCAAAAAAAAAAGAAAAGAAAAGAAAAAATCTAAGCCGAGGCAAAAATGATTTCAATACATAAAAACTTGATGTCTGTCTAATCAAGTTAGCCTAAAGTATGTGAGGAATCAGAATTCATGGAAATGGGTGTTTTAAATATGTATTTTTAAAATTTGAAATTTGTGTTCCATAAGCTTATTTTTAGAAGGCTAGCCTGGGACCAGCAGGTGGCATAATGGTTACATTGTGGACTCCCATGTAGTTGACCATGCTTTGAGTCCCAGATCTGGCAACTTAAAAGTCACACCAGGCGCATATTCATGCATCGCAAAAATCATGAGAGTAGGATGGAGGAGAAGGGATTGAGGCATGGCCATCCCCCCTGGGGGATGATCTCTTGCTTTCTGTCTCTCTCTCTCTGTCTCTCCAGTGAATGCTTGTGCTCTATAGCAGAAAAAAACTCTCTTAAATAAAAAATAGAAGGCTAGCCTAGTGACACTTTACAAAACCAGATTCCAGTATTAGCCACTTAATTTTTTTTTTTTTGAGAGGTTTTCGCTATAGGGCGCGTGCGCTCGCCAGACAGAGAGAGACATAGAGACAGAAAGTGAGAAATCACCCCCCAGGGGGATGGCCATGCCACAACCCCTTCTCCATTCTCCTCTCAGGATCTTGGGCACGCACGCATACGTGCCCAGCGTGAGTTTTAAGCCACCAGGTCTAGGACGCGAACCGCGGTCGACTACGTGGGAGTCCAGCAACATAGCCATTACGCTAACTGCTGGTTCCCTCTTCATAAATGTGTGAGACCTGGGATGACCTGAGGATGATGTAGAATCCTGGAACTTTAGAAAAGAGGTGAACTTAAAGCCAGTCTTTCCACCCCTGGGCTCACAGATGGAAAACAGCCAGGAGAGGGAACGTTCCAACCCCACACCACCTGAATGGCCAAGTGCCTAAAGACCAGGCGCCACGTCCCCTTCGATCCGTCCTGTTACGTGATGAGAGGATCAGCTAGATCAACCTCCGAGCTACCAAAGCCTCGGGTTTGCTGAAGCAGGTGCAGGTCCTCTTCTGTTGTATGATAGGGAGACAAATAACAAGGTGGACAGCGATTTGCCCAACGTCAAGATGAATGGAAAACTAGGCATCCTGATCACCGAGCAGTGCTTTTCCTAGTAGGCAGAGGCTACAAGGCTCCAACCTGGAAAGGCCAGAACCTCGAAGATTATAACCCAGGATTTACCACTCACTGGGACGTGACCTCAGACAAATGACTTAGCCGTGGCGCATCTCAGATTCTTCATCAATGGGCTGCTTATGCAGATGGTACCCACCTCCTAGGGCGGTGTGCCCGGCCGAGCTAACGTGTATGAAATACTTGACCCGTTTTTTGCACTCCAGAAACACTCGTCTTAACACCTGTGACCTAGGAACTCCCCCACCGGGAGCTCAGCTTCTACCGTTGGCTCTATCTCAAGACCTGGATCTTGTTCTCTCGATATCGTGCTCTTCGCAGCTTTCCTGGGGAATGGCACAGACAAGAATTAGGTTACGCTGGACAACGGTTTCACCTCCTCGGAGGAAAGACGGAAATACCAGTGCGTACCTTACTCCCTCATTTCTGAACTTCCCGATTTGACCTCTTGCCGTAAATTGAAGAAATGGGGATGCTGGCAAGATAACAAGTACAGACTGGTCCGTCGTTGTCCTTGGGGAGATCTAGGAGCATCTGACTGGGAAATACTTAACAGAATTAATACTTGAGGACAAAAGGTGGTGCAGAACAAAACCAAAGGATAAATCAGGTTTAGCATGTAAATCAAGGACTCCATTAATATTTTGGGTTTTAATGGAAGAAACAACTGCTGGGCTATCAATAAGGGAGCTTTGCAGAAGTCTGGTGAAATTTTCATTTCTTTAACCGCTTAAGTGCCAGGCTTCCCCACAGGCCTCACCATCCATTTCTATGCCAGCATTCCGGAATGCTT